CCACTTTCACTTGGGAAATAGTGATGTCCAGATGTCAGGTCTTGACATAGCTCACTAGGCGTTGCAGGCTGGGCTGGGAGCCCTCTCAGAGCGCAGTAGGCACATCTGCTCCATATAGTAGTGACTCTGGAGCCCAGAGAAAGAAGATCACACCGGGAACTGGCTGGATCACGACACAGTGGCCAGACTGAAGTGGGGGACTCCAGTCTCTTTTGTACCCCCTACCCCATCATCCTAGAACTGGCATTTTTAGCAACTCACCCTTAAGCCGGCCAGGACACTCTCTTCACATCTGAAAAACAGAGGAGTCCATGTGACTTAACTTACTTCACAAGGACATTTTAAGGACCAAGGAGGGGCATCATGGGTTTGGAATTCCTTGAAAGTTCAAATGTGAGACCATCCTTGGTGATGGTTGTAAAACAATTTATAAGAGAATCCAAATAAATTGGCAAGCATGGTTCCCTGTCTCATAATCCAGCCGCATCAATATTCATATGATAAGCATTTGTTGAGTACCCACTAAGTGCTCAGGTGCACTGTGCCAGGTGCCAGGGAGCCTGCGGCACCCTTTCAATCCATTCCTCATATCAAGCCAGAGAGCGCCTGCTAAATTAGAGTCAGACCCTGACCCTCCTCTGTTCAAGACCCTGCCTGTTTACTCAAATCCACCTTTCTGCAAGAACCCCAACACCCATATGACCTGATGCCTTAGCCTCTCTCATCTCAGCTCCTACTAGTCTCCCCTCATCTACTCAGTTACCATCAAAGCCTCCTTAGGGCCTTGGCACTTGCTGCCCTTTTACCCTACAATGCTCCTCCCCCAGATGTTGGCACAGTCCAGCCCTGCCCTCTTCCAGGTCGTGATTTGAATGTCATTGGCTCATCTCTGGACACTCCCTGATTGCAGCACTCACATTTCCTATGCCTCTTCTTAGCTTTAGTATTTTCCTCACTACCTAAAGTTTACTTAAATTCCTGATATAGTCTATTGTTTGTCTCTTCACTAGAGTGTAACCTGTGCGAGAGCAAGGGCTCTTGTCTGTTTTGTTCACATTGAATCTTCAGTGCCTAGAGTAGTGTCTGGTACAGAGTCCAGGCTCATTAAATATTGGTTAGTGAACAAAAGGGAACAGATAAGGTCCCTGTTCTCATGGCCTGCATCGCATTAGTGGAGGGGCTGCTGGGGGTATGGGGTAGAAGGAATGGAGAGACTACGGTCCCTGGTGACAGAAGCCTCTGGAACTCCTCTCCAAGGGTGTCATTGCAGGATTGCATTATCACTAGTCTTGAGCAGCACGATTTATAACAGGAGTTAACTGCTTACTAATTAGCAGCTGGAACCATTAATTGGCTATTTGTTAGAGCCTGAATTAATAAACTGGTCTTTCAGTGGGGTCATAACTCTCCCTGCTTCTCACCCCCTCCCAGCTACCCTTCCCCCACCTGACCAGAAAATGTCTTGCCCTGAGATTGAATCGATACTTGCTAGTGTATGATTTTCAAAGACAATTTCCCTCACAAGGCAAGGACACCATCTCTGCAAAGACTCTAACTCTCTCCTCTTTGGGGCTCTGGCTTGCCAGAGGCAAGTAGCAGGAGGAGATGGGGGAACTTTCTAGTAACATGCTCTTAGAAGAAAAGCCTGCAGCTGCCCTGTTTGACTAAGGTTTGAGGCTCCTGATTCCCTGACCTGTCACCCTTTCTGTCAACAGCTAGTTCCTAAGGCGGTTTGGAGCCCGAGGGCTGCGTTTTTTTTTTTTTTTGCTCGGGGGGAGTGTTTGGCGGGGAGTGGGGGGGTGGGGGGAGTGATTTTTTTTTTCTTAGAACATCTTGGGTAGTCCACAAGAGTTGGCAGTGGGTGCTGACCACAGAGGCACAGTCTGAGCCTGTGCCTGGCAATCTGCTTCCTGGCTGCCTCAAGTCCAGTGGTTTATCTTTTATGTCCCACCCCCCAACAGCCCTATTTGGGAATTGGAGAATTGTTCTCTTCTTATGAAGAGTATAGGAAATACTTCTTGTGAAAACACTTAGACCCTTAGGTCTTTTCAGTGAAAACAGTGGTTAAGAGCCAGGTTGAACAACAAAGCTATCTAGGTCAAAGCCTAGTTCAGCCACTTAGCAGCTGTGTGAGTCACTAAATCTTTCTGTGTTATTCTATGAGGAACAGCCCTATAGAACTCATAGTTGTTATGAGTGCTAAAGAGTTAATATACATCAAGTACTTAGGACAGTTCCTGGCCAATGGTGTCATTATCACTCATGTCTCTCAACCTCTCTGTGAGACCAGAATCCTACTCACATTGCAGCTGGGGAAACTGATGCCTCCTGAGGTGAGGACTGGAATGCAGGACTGGAAGCTCCCATTGCTGGTCTTTCCCTTCTCCCAGCTTGCCTCCCACTGTCAGATACAGGATTCTGCCAGAGGCAGCAGGCAGGGCACACACGGGGAAAAGAAGACTGAATTGCAGGCACATGCAAACAGGCTGTCAGGGTATTTACACTGCATACAATTAGCTGCAGAGTATTCACAAGTGGATTAGCTACAGCAAATGCTCAATCCTAGCCTGGGTCGAATGTGGGCCTCTGCTTCCCCCTCTATGGGTCCCAACCTATCATGAATCTCCCCTCTTCCAGATCAGTGTAGGTATTCAGAGTAGGCAAACTCAAGAGAATGTCAGCTGTCCCCCAATAATATATCACAAAGTCAAAGAGGGGCAACTAACTGTTATTTGGGGTTAAATTGATTAACTGGAAGATAGAAAGGCAGTTTCCCCTGACATGGATAAGTGCTCATTCAACTCAGGATGGGCAGGGCCAAGAAGAGCAGGAATCACTATGACCACTTTCTGAGAGTTTCCTAAAGGGGGTGAGGAATTTCTAGGAATCTTCAAATAATGGGAAAAAGATGACAATAAAAGAAACTACTCATCATCACACTCTCAATTGGTGCCACTTCCTTTTCAGGAAGGAGAGAGGGAGGTGGAAAGTGGTCTGATAGCTACAGAGCTAGGGTACCCCACGTCCTCCCTCAGCTTGCCCTTTCCGGGTTCTGTCTCCCCTCAGGACCTCAGGCGCCCCCAAGCGCCCTAAGGGCAGAAAATGGGCTTTTCTCTCTGGGTAATTGTTGGAGGGATTAGAAAGGATGGCGGCCTCTGGTATCTGACCATGATGGACATCATTCATTCAATCATTTAACAAATCTCCAGCTGGCATCTGCTGAGGGCCTGCACTAACCTGGATCTGGTTCCACTTATTCAGACTTGGACCCACAAGAAATGAAGGAGAGAGAAAAGTGGGGAAAGTGAGGGACACACGACCAAGTGGATGATGTGGGTTGTAAAATAAGATTCTTCAGAGGTCTTGCACTCTCCACGATGGACAGGAAGGAAGCTGAGGAGGTATCTATCAGCTGGTGGTACCACCACCATGCCTTTTGGCATTTCTCTCGACACCTCCCACACCTGCCAATTCGTCCCTCCTCCGCCCCCCATTGGGGGTGGGTTCCCGTGGGGCGTCAGCCCCTGGAGGGTCGGGGAAGAAGGAATCCGGCGGCAGGAAATGGGCCTGGGGAAAGGGTGGTTTATTATGTCTTAAATATTTGTTTTAATTTCGGTACTGAAAAAAATTAATAGTTTTGATCTAGATTTTTTGAATTTTGACAAATGCATAGAGACGTGGAACCACCATCGCAGCCAAGATACTAAACAGTTACGCGGGAGGAGCAGTGTTTCGGGGGAGGGGGGTTTATAATCTCCCCGCTAGTTAGCTGCTGCGGCTGTCCGCGCTCCCACGGGCCGTTCTAACACAATCCCTTCGTACACGCCGAGATAAATCTTGGCGACAGGTGGAGCAGGTGAGATTAGCAGGCTCGGGGAGGGGACGCGATCGCGGGCTCGGGGGAGGTCGCCCGTCTCGCTTGCCAGCCTCCCCCCCTCCTCACAGCGCTCGGGAGAAGCGCCCCCAGTCTCCTCCTCTACCCCCAGCCCCCCAGCTCCGGGAGAGCCGGGTTAGGGTAGCTGAGCACAGAGTGCCAGATCCCCGTAGGTGGAGCGGGCCCCGCGCTTGGCTGCGGGAAAAGAGTGCGCCCTTGGGGCGCTTGGGGGCGCCTGAGGTCCTGAGGGGAGACGGAACCGGGAAAGGGCGAGCTGAGGGAGGACGTGGGGTACCCTAGGGAGCTCCAGCAGCAGGGGTTCTGCGGACAGACCTGTTGGCAACCTGTGGGCCGAGGCTAGCGCAGAAGCTCTAAGCGCGCGCTCTCCGCCCCCAGCTCCGCCAGCTGCTCCGGCGGCGGCCCCCACGCCCCACGCGGGGAGAGACGAGGCGGCGGGGCCAGGGGCGGGGGCCCGGCCGGGGCGGAGGGACTCGGGGGCCGCCGGCAGCCCGCAGCCCGACAGCTGGCCGCCGCCTCGCGCGCCCGTAGGACCCCAGCAGCCGCGGCTCCGGGCCTGTCCCTCGGATCCGCTCTTCCGTCTCGCCCTCCCCTCCGCCGCCAAAGTGCAAAACATTTACAAAGTGTGCAGCGCGCCGCGGGCGTGGGGCCCCGGGGCGAGCGGCCCTCCTCGCCCGAGAGCGTCCTGGGATCGCGCGCCCGCCCGGGCGGCCCGCTGGGAGCGCAGGGGCGGCGGAGAGCGAGTGTGCGGGCGCGCGGCTGCGGAGCCCGCGCTGAAGCCCAGTCCCCGCGCCGCTGTCCTCGGGATAGATGGATCCATTTCTGCTTTCTGACATTTTCCTGCCGGGGTGGGGGGTGGGGGGTGGGGGTGGGGGGTGGGGGGGGGGGCGGAGCGGAGCGGGGGGGGGGGAGAGAGAGAGAGAGAGAGGGAGAGAGAGAGAGGGAGCGAGCAGTCAGCTTCCCCCAGCCCTGTTTTGTTTTCTCTAATTGGTCCTGGGGGAGGCGAGGAAATTGGACAGAGGCTGGGCCGCGCGAGCTGGGCTGTGTTTAATTGGCTCCTTTTTTTAACTGGAGGGGAATCAAACAGGAGAGCTCGCGACAAAGGGTGGGAGAGCGAGAGACCGAGCGGGGAGACGCGAGGAGGAGGAGGAGGAAGGAGGGGGGGGGGAGCGCGGAATGAGAAGCTCCGAGGGGGGAAGCTGCACAGCAAAGCCCAAGTTGCGGCGCGAGCGGAGCGCTCCCGCGGCCCAGAGCCGAGCGGCCGCGGCGCCCCGGAGCCCGGCCCGGCCCCGCCCGCTCGGGGCCCCATCCGGCCGTGGCCGCCGGGCGGGGCGGGGACGCCCAACTTGGGGCGCGGCGCAGCCCCGCTCTCCCGAGAGCGCCGAGCCCGGGAGCGCCGCGGCCGCGGCCAGACGGCGGGAGCCGAGCGCGGCGAGCGGAGGTGGCTGGCGGCACCCGCGCCGCAGCCGCGACCTCGCCGTGAGCGCGAGTATTTTTCAAACGACTCAAACTTTCCTCCTTCCCCCGCGTGCTGGGGTCCCTCTTGACTGGAACTGCTCTGCTGGCTCCCGCGGGGCGCCGGGGCGCGATCTCCAGCCGGGGCTGCCCGGCTAACTTCGCGGACGCGGGGATCCGCGGCGCTCGCCGCGGCCGAGCCCAGTGCACGCTGCTCCCCAGCTCGGGAGGGCCGAAGCCGGGGCTCCTGCGTCTCAGCGAAGGCGCCTAGCCCGGCCCCCGGGGTCCGGCCGCTGAGCCCCCAGCGCCCGCCGCAGGACTGGAGACCGCGGATTGAACCGAGCGGAGCCCCGGCCTCGCGCCCCAGCTCCGCGGAGGGGCGTCCCCCGGGCGGGCGAGCGACAAGTTTGTCAGTCGCCGGTGGCCTGTGGGCTCGAAGCGCCTCCGCCTCCGCAGAGGGGTCCCCTGCGCCCGGCTCCGCGCGCGGACGGCCCCGGGAGCACGGGGCGGCTCGGCAGCCGGGCTCCTCGGGCCGGGGCGCTGGCTGCTGAACCTGGCGAGCCGAGGCACCGGGGGCCGGGCCAGCGCCCCCTGCGTCCCCACGCGGGCAGCGGCCCCGCCGGAGGAGAAACCCGGGTTGCTGCCACCGCCGCCCGCTCCATCTCCTGCTCCCCGGCGCCGCCGCCCTCTCGGTCGCCCCTTGGGAAAGGAGGGGACTCGGGGGCATCGCGGGGCCCCGGCGGATGCGCCCCCCGCCGCCTTTCGGGCTGCGCCGCCTCGCGGGGATGAAGCACCGGGCGTGAAGATGGAGGTGACCTGCCTTCTACTCCTGGCGCTCATCCCCTTTCACTGCCGCGGACAAGGCGTCTACGGTAAGAGCCGCGTCCCGCTCGCGCCGGCTTAGCACCGCGCGGAAACTTTGCAAGAGGCGCAAAGTGCGCGCTGCCGGGGTTTGGTGGGGACCAGGTCTCGGACACGGGAGTGGATGCCCGGGTCCCCGCCCTTTCCAGGGCGCGAGGATGTCGAGCCTGCTGCCTCCGAGCTCCAGACGGGTCTCCGGGTCTGGCGTGAAGCCGGTGATTCCAGGGGGACGCCCTCGATTTCCCAAGCCCTGCCCGGGGCGGGAGGGACTTAGCTCCCTTGAGAGTACCCAGTCAGCTCGGGAGACCCCGGCGGACCCCAAACCCCGGGCTGGGCCAGCAACTTGCTCTGAAACCTCGTCCAGCCCCTGCTCGGCCTCCGGAGTGGAAGCCCAGCGATGCCCGATTCGGAGTTGCGCGGCGTGTGGGCGAGCTGGTTGCCAGCGCCGCGGCCCGCGGGCGGGCTCTGGTTCTCCGCTGCCTGGGCGGCTTCGCTTCTTTCACTCCCCTGGTGACTGTGGGAGAGGATGCCGGCATGCCTTGATGGGGCGCTCGAAACCCGGGCATCCCTTTTCGGACCTCTCCTGAGTCAATTCTTCCCGTCCCCGCTCCCAGCTGCAAAACCTCAGCCTCACCTTCCTTCCTTCTCCCTGCGTGCGCGCGCGTGTACACACACACACACACACACACGCGCACACACATACATTCAGCCACGGCCCCCAGGACACGCAAACGCCGCACGCACCCATCGGGCTATGTGTCCAAACTCTGCCTCCTGCCACCCAGCATTTTCCCCACTTCCCCACGCCCCGCTTTCAGGCGCCAAGGGGACTCTGATTTCCTCTTCTTTACCCCTAAACGTTTCCCAGGGAAAGGTCCTGCCCAGCGTGGGCATCAGAGCCGGATCGCCTGGGCTCACCGGCTCAGGGACCTTCGCTCCGAGTTTTAGCAGCCTGTGTTTCCCGTCCCCACAGGACAAAAAGTCAGTTTGCCTGGCCCAGTAGCCCTTACTTTGCCTTCTCCTGCGTGTAGGGCCGTGGGTGTAGGTGACTAGTAAGGTGTGTGATTGGAGTGAGAAGGATTCTCTTTGCATTCTTTCTGGGCCCTAATTATTTGTTTTTAGATCAAGGGAGAGCTTGACTTGTCTGTTGCTGGGGAGAGACATTGTCTCCTTCTCCACTTCCAGCCTCAAGTGCTTTTTTCTGGGGGTGCCTTGCAACTGGGAGGGGTGTCTGAGAGGTGACTCGCTCCTGGTCCTACACAGCTAGCGCACTTGGCCGTAATTCCCCCGGGAGGCTGGCTCAGGCATCTGGCCAAACTCTGCTTCTTAATTAGTTTGTGTGTCTCTTACCGCCTGGCCGTTTGCAGAGGCAGAAAAGGAAGGAAGGAAGAAGAATGCAGCAGGCGCAGAGAGAGACCGGGTTGGGGGGAGGAGCCACTGAGCTTGCCCCAATGGTCTCCCCAGGGCAAGGAGAGATGCCAGCAGGGTGAGGGGCTCTCTTTCTTCTTTCTTCCTACAGCTTCACTGCCGCCATAAAAGGTGGCCTAAGGGAGGCCACTGAGGCCTTTACCTCCCTCACCAGAGCCCAAGGGGCTCAGGAGAGTGACAGAGAACACTGTTTGGTCCTGTCCTCCATGCCACCCCTCCCTCTGAGGCCCCTTGGCAAAACTGACAAGCCCATTTCCTGATCATCCCTCTCCTCCATTCCTCCCAGTTTCTCCAACCTTCTCCAAGACTGCATGGGGCCTCTCTTGAGGAAGCTCCTCAGAGCCTGGATGGAAACCTCAGCCATGACAGTGGGAGTTGGGGATTGGGCCAGGGGTTTCTGAGGACCTTGATGTCAGAGTAGTTGGGGACCAGGATTTAGCCTTTGGTTAATCTGCTCCCTTTTCCCTATGTGTCTCCCGCATGTGCCAGGTCCCAGCCGCTCTCATTCTGAGCAAATCAAGGTGGTTTGTGTGCCCTGGACGGGCCCTGGGCTCTTGGGTGGCATTCTTTCCGCTTTTGAGAAGGCCTCAGGGGAACTATGTGGTGGACTGCATTAAGGAAGACGGAGAGAGAGGACAATACCATATGAGAAAGAGGATGGCAAGAGGCTGCCAAGTTCCCTGTGATGCTAGGAGCTTTGGCCAGATACAGCAGAACCCTCGTGGGAACCCTCGTGGGGATGGATTAAAAAGTAATATGGGGAGCCAGTTCTTGGCCACCCCCAGCTTCCCTCTATGCCCAGAGCAGAGGAAGCAGCTTGAGATATACAGGTGAGGATGGTCCTGTGTGACCATCATTGTACCCTGGCACCCAGCATGGTGCCTGGCATAGAAATAAGAGCTCAGCAAATGTTTGTTGCCAGATTGAAAAGCTATGGTTTTGAGGGGTGGGGGGCGGTAGGGAAGAAAATTCTCCTTGAAATTCTTTCTTCCTGAAAAGTCATCTAGGGTAGTTTCCAGCAGGGCAGAGTGAGCTACTCTGAAAAGGTCTCTGCTTAGGGAGTCATGAAGTCCTAGGCTGGCAGCCTTAGCGGGCCTCAGGGAGGACAAGAAAGAAGAGCCTGGAAGTCTAGCATTGCCCTGGTGATGAGAAGGGAGGCAGGAGGTTTTATTTGAGGTGCAAAGGAAAAGTATCTTGTGGGGCAGGAGCCCTAGCTCCTTCTCCTCTGTCCCCAGCCCTGTGTGGTTGAGAGAGGGGCAGGTTAACTCAGAGTCTGAATTGAGGATAGGGAGGAAGAGCAGGGTGGGCCAGGCAGACGCATCTGGATCTGGCCTGGGTTGTGGGTCTTTGTGGAAGCTGGTGGCGGGAGCCCTCTGTCTGGTTTCTCCATGAGGGGCCTCTTGCAAAGTCCTTTCCAAGATCCATTGTTACAGTAGAGCTGGGGCCACACTCTTGATCTAGCTCAGACTAGCCAGGTGGCTTTGCTCTTCTTTGGGGCACAGATGCTACAACAGCCGAGTATTGGACCAGATGGTCCATTTGGAGACAGTCCCCTTTTTCTTCCTGCCTCCCAGTCTCTTGGCCCCATTTGTTGTGCTTTGGGTTAGATCCTGTGATCTGTTCTCTGGCAGGCTAGTGGGTGTGTTGACCCCAGAAATCTGGTTCTGGGGCAAAGACATTAGCTAGGTGATGGAGGAGTACCCTGCGTGTGGATGGCATCAGAGAACACCTCCCTCTCCCCCTGCCAACATACATACCTCCATCCTGGCTTCCTCTCCTCTCCCCATAGTTCCCTGGACTTCCAGGCAGGGGCAGGGCAGTAGAACTCCTTTCCCTTACAAAAACACAACAAACCTCTGGATTATTTAATATGCAGGAGTGGGAATTGACATTATCCTTAAGACAGGTTGTTTGCAAGTTACTGGTGGAAGTCAAAATATTTCACCAAAGGTGTCATCAGAAACTACTATCCTATGCTAATTTTTGTGGGAACATGAAGACAGATGTTGAATAATTTGACAAGAGCAATATAGCTTACAGAATTATCACCAAGTCAGGTTTTTCCCCCCTCATCTGAGGGGTGCAGAGAGGGAATTTCAGGAAGTGTGTCTTCCGGTGCTATTTTCTGGGTGTTGATCTGGGTATGGGCACTCTTGGGATTTTTCACCAAGGCTTCAACCCCATGTCTTGAAATGAGTTGTCCATTTCTGACTCTCCCCTCCTGGAGAAAACTTTAGTCTCTTAGGACAAACAGAAGGCTCTAATGTCCTCAAGAAGGTCCACACCTCTGTCCCTTCTCCCTTCTCAGTTATAGAAGCTGCAGGAAGGAGAGAGAGGGCCTTGTGTTTGCCACCCAAACTGATTTATTTTCTCTGCCAGCATTGTTTGCCTCCCCCTGTCCCCACTAGGTTGATGTTGGATCCTGAGCCCATTGGAGGGCTCCCCAGATCTGGCAATTAAGTCAGAGAGCACCCATAGGGTCAAGGTCCATTTGATGTCCCATCCAGCACGCTAGGCTGCCAATTTGTGTTTCATACAGGGTGGGGCCCTGGAGAGGGGTAGGGATGGCTAGAGAGGATTTTATTAGCCAGAAAAGCACCCTTGAGGGAAGGGTTGGGGATATGCCAAGGGCCCACTTGTAATTGGCCAGGCTTGGCTGTGAGCTGCTGGGGTGAGGTGGCAAAGCCTCATTTAGAGCCTGGTATTAGCTCTGCTTTGCTGGAACATGGAGGGACGGGCGGGGGGCTCCATGGGGAGAATGGAGGGAGCTAATCACAGCCGCCAAGGCCCGGCAAATGAATGATGCAGGAAATCAATACCTGGGGGCGGGAGTGGAAATCCGGGCAGTGGTAGCAGCCCTGGCTTCTCCAGCTGCCCAGCAGGCATAGGCAGGCCTGGGGGAAGTGAGACAGAGGCAGGAGTGTGGAGGACCCTCCTCTCCCCTTTACATTCTTTTCCCACCCCAAATCTGCCTCCCTTCCCCCTGCTTCTACCTTTCATCTCCTTGTGACGGGGCTTAGGTAGGTTGGGCCAGGAGATGCCCCACCTGGCAGAGGCAGGAGACCCAGGAAATGGGACGTTTGGCCTGTCAGCCCTGCAAGAGCCCTGTCCCATCTGCTGCCTGTTTCGGAATGTCTGGGCCTGACCTATGGCCCAGTGTCTGTGCTGCCTGGGGACTCGGCCCTGTGTGCTGGCACTGCCACTCCAGATGTGGCCAGCAGGGGGAGGGCTTGGCCGCTTCATTGCTTCTTGCCTTTCCTAGGCTCCTATGGCCTCATGCCTCCGGTGGGATATGAGTTATTCTACAGCCCGAGTCCCAGGGGAGTTCCTGAGGGCCTTCAGGCCTTCTTCCAGCTCCCACATGCCCACCCTGCTATCCCAGGGCACTCGACTGTGGCCAACACTATACTTCCTGCACCTTTAGCCAGGAACTCCGTGGTGGGGCTCAGCTTGGTGGGCTCCTGCCTGGGGTTATGTGCAGAGCAGGGGCCTGTGCCCTTACAGAGCTGCCTCTTTGTGAGCCTGGAATGTGGCCCCTTTTCTTCTTTCCCATCATCTGTGCAGGTAGCCAGCTGCTGTTGAT